TGCACCAAGTTCCAAATGCCTCTGCTCTGATTTCCCTTCTCCTTCCTGTTCTTCCCTCCTGAGACCCAGACCCGCGCCAATCGTGCCAGGAGTGCAGGGGGCTTCCCTCGGGTCTGCTGCCCTTTCCCAGGCACCACAGCACCCTGCTCCCCAGGACGCCCACCCTACCTGGTGTAGGAATACTTGTTGTTGCTTCTATTGTACAGCAGCTTCACCACGGGCTGTGAGGGAGGAGAGCGTGAGGGCCAGGCCACGGTCCCGACATCCCCTGCCCATATGTAGCCCTCACAAGTCCCAGTACCTTGGTGGAGGCTTCAATGAGCCTCTCCTCCTCCTTCAGGGATGTGATGATGGGGATGTTGCACACGGGCTGGTAGGAGTCCTTCTTGTCCTGGGTGACACACACAGCTGAGAATCTTTTTTGAGATCTTCTGCTTGCCAGTTAGCCAGGCTTTCCCCAGGAGCCATCAGAGGCCCTCTGCCATGGCCACCCCCTGACTTGTGGAGGAGGCATTAGACAGAGTTCAGGAGGCCCCTGGCAACAGAAACTGCCAGCTGGCAAGCAGACCCCCATTTCCAGAAAACCTAAGATCCAGCTATCTAGGCATATAAACTAGAAGCAGGACCTAGTCAGACTGCCTAGTTCGTCACCTTACAAACTGGCTGGCTGCAAGCTCGGTCAGCCTGGGCAACCCCTGTGGTGTGTCTAACTAGGCTTGGACTCATCAACCACAGCTGTCACACAGCCTTCCAGGAATTGGACCTTTGTCCCTGAAGGAGGGGGCCAACTCCCGACCCCATCAACCTGCCCCAACTCTGCCTCCGTACCTGCAGGGCAGTTTGGCACATGTTCACCAGCCCCTGAATGAGGTAATATTTCGCTTCAGCCATCAATTCCTTGATTTCTTGCCGGTTTTGTGGGAGGATGATGGTGTCATCTCGGAGGTAATTCAAAATGGTGCCAAAGTGCTTTCCACATCGGTCTATGAGGATCCAGCCTGGGAATTCAGGGGGGCCCCAGAGTGTTACTGTTTGCCTCCAGGTACCTCAGAAGCAGGCAAAAGCCACCTGACAAGCCTGGTGGCCGGTGGCATGGAGCAGATGAGCGCAGAGCCCACGGCACAGGGTAAGAGAAATGGGAACAGAACCTCTAGCTCTTAGGTCCATGGCTGATCTTCACCCCTCCTCCCTGAAGCCAGAGCTGGCACACAGCGTGGGAGACACAGGCCCTCCAGGCTCTGTGGAGGCCCACTGAGCTCAGGAGTGCTCAGGCCACCTCATGGCAACACAGAACCCACCAGGCCCTGCTTGCCTTCTGCCCACAGCCCAGTTGCTAAGGCAATGGTTTTTATGAGAATCTAGTCCTATGTGAATATAAAACAAGTATGGATCTCCTCCCTGGAAAATGCGTAAACACACAACATTCTACGTACAATTTCAAAGGATTCTGAAGCTCTACTAAGCACTCCAGGTGAAGGAGTTCTGCACCCAGTGAACCAAAAAAGCGAATCTAGATGCTAGATCTGCCAGCCTTAAGCCCTGCCCTGAAGTCACTTCCTCAAGAACTCCTCTTTCCCTCCCCACCGCTCCCCACAAGTCCCAATGCCTTACCTTCTTTGTCGGTCAGCACTTCCATGCGCCCACTGAACATGGCCTTGAGCATGGTGTCATGCCGGGTGAGCGCCCGCACAGTGGTGTAGTACAGGGAACCACCCACATTGAGCTGGACGTATTTGTTGCCCAGGCCTCCTCCCTTGAAGCCGCTTAGTTTGGGCTTGGCCCCTGAGGCTGGGCACAGACAGGTATCCCCTGACATCTCCCGCTGCAGGTAGATCACCACACGGCAGGAGGTCGGCTTGGAAGGCTCCGCCGTGGTGGAAGGGTCACAAGTCAGTGGCCAGTGGAGGCCAGAGCCTCATACTCTCAGTGCTGTGAGCAGAAGATGGGAGAGAAGACAGAAGTCAGCACAGGAGAGCCCTCAGTCAGGAGGGGACAGAAGGGGAAACACTGACCATCTACTCATTCTCTCTTTGATAAGCCCTCAATTCCCTGGCAGAGGCTAAGGCCCTAGGCCTTACAGCAGACATTCCTGCTGTTATCTATGGAACCAGGAATCAGGTCTGGGAGCGCAGTCTCCCAGAGCCCAGAGCTGGTCACCTCACCAGGCTCCCTGTGACACAGCTCAGCTCTGAGTAGCAAGGAGGACAAGCAAACCCTTGGAGCTGGTCAGAGACAGCTTGAGGAACAGCCTGGGCAGGGCAGACGTCCTTACTCTGGGGATCCATCAGTCAGATTCCAGTTATTTGCTTCTCAAGGTTCCCAGGATCCAAGACCTCCAGCCAAACCTACTGGGAATCCAGCCAGCCCAGGAGTTTCCCAGGAGCCCGAGGGACAGGATGCACTTCCTTTCTAAAGATTCCAGGCTCGGAAGCAGCCTGCACCAGTGCTTACTTTGAGTACCACTCGGAGTCTGGCTTCAGGAAGGCAAGTAAAAGCAGCTTCAGGAGAGCACGGAACGAGCCAGGCTGGAGGGAGCCGGCCAGTGTTCCTGGCAGGTGTTACTCTGCCTCCAGCCGGGGTTTCCTGACCTTCCCCTTTACTTGGCACCAGCCCTGTCCCAAGTTCCTGAAATTGTCACCATTTTCCAGGACAGAACAACTACAGGATGGCTATTTTTGCTTCTTTTTCCTGAGAAGGGGCCCAGCCCTATCTTTTCCTCTCTTCCCTCCCAACAAGAATGGGGAGAAAGGGCTAGAAAAAAACCAGACGATAACTCTAAAAACAGTTAAGTGATCTGGAAAGTGAAACACCGATAGGAGGGAGGGCAAAGCCAGGTCACCTCTCATGATTTAGATTCCATATGTTTTGGTTTTCTAAAGAATCATTAAAATTCATTCACTGAAGGAAAAAAATAATAGCCAACTTTCTTCGCATGTTTACTATGTTCCAGGCACTATTCTAGGCATTTAATACATATTAGCTCATTTAATTCATTCAGCAATAAAACAAAATTGAGTGCCTACTATGTTAAGCAGTAGGAATAGAGATGAAAAGATAACGTCCTTGCCTTCAAGAAGTTCAAAGAAGCATCATGATGTTAACAAGAATAAAAATATTTTTAGTTATTTAGTTAGCTTAGATTGTGCCACTGCTACGTGCCAGGCACCGGGGATACAGAAGAGAACAAGTCATGGCCTCATGGAGCTTACATTCTAGTGGGAGGATACAGACAACAAACAAGAAAATAAATAAATATGCAGGCAATTCCAGAAAGCAAGAAATGTAATAAAGATAGTAAAACAGAGATAAGAGTGACTAGGGAGAGGCACTAATTTAGATAGGGGGCCAGAGAAAGCCTCTTTGGGAAGGTGACGTTCCAGCTGAGGTCTCAAAGAGCATTTCAGATACATGGATGAGGAGGGGCAAAGTTCCTCAGTTAGACACAAAGTTTAGGAAAAGAAATAAGGCCAAGATGGCTGGTGCATAGAAAGAAGGGGGCTGTTGGCCTGATTTAAAGTCAGGGAAGGCAGGGGCCACATTACATTTAAGAGTTTGGGAATCGATCTGAGGGTTTTAAGCAGGGGAATGATATGATCTGAGTTATTTACATTTTGAAAAGATGACTCTGGTTGCTGTGTAGAGAATGCATTGTAAGGATGCAAGAGAGTAAGGGAGGCTTGTCCAGGAGACTCTCATTTGCCTCCAAGACGGGAGTCTGGATGAGATGAGCCCTCACCCGCAGATTACCCAATCAGTAAGCAACACTGAGCGGTACATCACCTTACCTTCCTCCACCCACCCCAAAGGAACAAACACACCCCTGAACAGGTTTTAGCAAGTTCTCTACGTATTCTGTGCCCCAATTTCTCCAGGATCAAAGAAAGCACACAAACATATTCTGCCAAAGCAAAGGAGCTCAAAGTTTACGCGGTTGCCAACGGAGGAAGACAAATCCAGAGCTAATCTATTCCTTTCCTACAAAGCAATTGCTTTCAATCCTTGGATGACGTCAGCTCAGATTCCGCCCAGACCAATGGGTTCTAGGAATCCTGTGGCAGGTGACGCCCTAGAAAGTAATTCCAGTGAGAATGAAGTTTCCATTGATAACCTCACCGCTCTTCCTTCCGGACTTTGTGTGTGGATCTTTGGGGATGCCTGGGGCTAAGGGCGTATCCGTGTCTCACTCAGCGAAGCTAAAGAGAAGCCAAGCCGAATAAAGGGCAAACAACGACGGCTGTGGCATAAGGTAGGGTCCTGAAGGAGGAAGGACCCACAAATCCGCCACACACGGGGATGGCGGGGGCGTGGGGTGGCTCTTGTCTAGAGATGGCGAATCTAGCAGTAATCCTAGGAGTAAATCTTAGGCTTCATCCAGAGTCTGAGGAAATTTAGCGAGACCTAACCCTCTGTGGGCAGTTTAGTCTTTCCCAGCCCGTACCCTTCCTCACTACCGAGAAACCGCGATCGGGTCTGACACCCACCCCCAAGGAAGGATTTGAGCTCTCCATCTCCCCTACGCCGTCACACGCCTTTTCCCCTGGACCAGGCGGGGAGGCGGGGAGGGAGCTCTCTTTGCTCCAGCCCGGGGCCCGTCCATCTCTTCCCCTAGGGCATCGGCAGGCCCGACTCTCACCGTCCCCGGGGGCGCCTCTCCTCGCAGCTGGGTTGCAAGCCAACGCCGTGCCGCCCCCAGTCTGTGGCCGCCTGCCCGCCAGCAATCCCGGCGCGTGAGCTCACATCCTCCGCCCGCTAACTCCACCCCGAGCCGCGGCCCCGCCCCGCCCCGCCCACCCGAGAGCCTGAGACGATGAAGCCCGGGACGCCCCGCACCCAATCACGGGGGAGGGAGGAACCCCTGAGAGTACTCCGCGGTGAGCGCACACCGACTTCCGGCGGCCTTGCCGGCGCAAAGGCCCCTGGGTCTTGTAGGCAGCCTTCCTTCCTCTTAGGCCTCTGTTCTCCAGCAGGCTCTGCGGGTTGGGCTGGCGTAAGTGCTTCCGGTGTCAGGCAGTGACATCATGGGTAAACAGATCCTGTAGCCGTGGCAGCGGCTGAGGCGGGCGGGCGAGGTACCGGCTGCCGCTGACCGGAGAGGGGAGCTGCCCGCCGCCGTCAGCCTGGGCCGCAGCGCGCCGGCGTACCGGGGGGGCAGGTAGGCCGTGACTCCGGGGCCGGGGCCGCGGGCGGACCCGGCGCGAGGTGAACCTGACGGGCCCGCGCCCTGAGGAGAGGCGGTCCCAGGCCGACAGAAACGTGGGAATTCCGCCCGACTCTTTGGGAGCGGTTTCACACCTAGCTCGGGCTTGGAGCTTTACGCGTCGATGCTCGCAACGATCTTATGTGGACACTGCGGCTCAGATAAATCCAAGGAGCTTACATAGTAAAGCCGGTTCCATCGCCCGGGTTTACCTAACTTTCCGCCCAGTGCCCTCTCCCCACCCCCATGGATGGAGCCTGCTGGTATGGCCTGGCGTGGGTCTGGGAGAGCCCGGGAGCGGGGAGAGTGTCAACGCTGTCGTCTTCAGGGAGCCCGGTCCTCCCCTTGTGCCCAGTGTTTCTCAGATGCTCAGACACGCGCGTGTGGTGCGAGTTGGGAGAGAATCTGATAGTGGGCCGTGAGCCGTCACCCTACCCTCCTCCTCCGGTCTTACCCATCTCCTTCAACTGTCCCCTCCAGCCGTAGAGTTGGCTCAATCCAGATACGTGGGAATCTTGCCTGACTCTCTCTCTCATCTCCAAAGCCCTACATTCAGTCAATCCTTTATAAAGTCCTATCAACTCGACTTACAAAACATCTCACATCGGAACGCTTTTCTTCAGCTCCAGTCTTTGGTTACTGTAATAGCCTCCTTCGTTTTCACGGTCAGCCATTCCACAAACATTTACTGAGTGCCGTTTATGTGCAGGCACCGTGCTGGGTGCTAGGGTTACAGTGATGAAGAAGGTAGGTGTAGCCACACCCACTTGTTCCCTCCATTCTGGGTCAGAGTGATCTCTCCAAAAGGCAACTCTGACCGTGCCCCTCTGTGGAGCATCCATTGGCTGCCCATTACCCTTAGGATAGAAGCCAGGCTCCTTACTGCGGCTTTCAGAATCTCCGTGATCCAGCTGCGGCCTGCCCACCTAGCATCATCCTGTTCCACGCTCCCCTTTGCTTACTGGGTTTCAGCCACACTAGCTTTTCAGTGTGCGGAATGCATTAAATTTCTTACAGCTTCAGGATCTTCACACATGCTTTTCCTTCTGCCCGGAATGCCTCCTCCCCACTTCCCCTTGACAAACTTGGACATCCTTTAGGTCTCAGCCTTTTTCAGAAGGGTTTTGTTGACGCACCCCCCATATGAATTATGTCCTCATGCTACAGCTTTACATAGCACCGTGTGCTTTTCCTCATACTGTTATCACAGTTTGTGATTGTTCACGTCTGTCCAGAAGTCAGGAACTAGAGCATTAAGGCATTTTCTTCACTACTCTTCTCACCAGAGTAGGGACTCAGCAGATGTTTCTGAATAAGTGCCTGCTCTCAGGGGAGGGAGTGCAAGTTGAAGGTTAATTGAAGCTTTCTAGAGCAGTTGGTCTGAGTAATCACCTGGTAGGTGTTAAGTGCTCAGACTATTACGTGTAAATATAACAGATCAAGCAGGAAGTCAGATCTTTTAATTTTATTAATTATTTTTGGGGTTGAGGAAGGTTGGCTCTGAGCTAACATGTGTGGCAATCCTCTCTTTTTCATGTGGGACACTGTCACAGCATGGCTGTCCAAACCTGCGAACCCTGGGTGCACGAACCTAACCACTACGCCACCAGGCCAACCCCAAGACAGATCTTTTTAAAAGCCTGATTATAAGAAAGCTCTGGATGATTAAAATGTTTCAAAAGGAAGATGCTAGCCTACTTAGTTCAGTGGATTCCAGTGAGGCCAAAGGCTCTGGGCCACACTCGTGCACAGACAGCCTGTAGACATGCATTAGATGGCCCACACAGTGTTAGATGTGTTTTTTTCCTTAAATTTTTGAATTAGATACTTTACTTTAAAAATAAGGTTTCAGTGGTCAGCCTGGTGGCACAGTGGTTAAGTGCGCACGTTCCACTTCAGTGGCCCAGGGTTCACCAGTTCGGATCCTGGGTGTGGACATGGCACTGCTTGACAAGCCATGCTGTGGCAGGCGTCCCACATATAAAGTAGAGGAAGATGGGCACGGATGTGAGCTCAGGGCCAGCCTTCCTCAGCAAAAAGAGGAGGATTGGCAGCAGTTAGCTCAGGGCTGATCTTCCTCAAAAAATAAATAAATAAATAAATAAACAAACAAACAAAGATTTCAGAGGTGGCCCCCACAGCATAGTAGTTAAGTCTGGCACATTCTGCTTTGGCAGCCTGGGTTTGCAGGTTCGGATCCCGGGCGTGGGTCTACATCACTTGTCAAGCCATGCTGTGCCGGCAACCCACATACAAAATAGGGGAAGACTGGCACAAATGTTAGCTCAGGGCTAATCTTCCTTAAGCGAAAAAAAAAAAAAGATTGGCAATGGATGTTAGCGCAGAGGGAATCTTCCTCACCAAAGAAAAGAAAGATTTCACATATAAATCTGGATCTCTGATCCTCTTGAAAACCAGTTCTGGCAACAGTGGAATTTAATTCTTTAACCATTGCTTGTATGGTACACCTGCTCTGGGGGGTTGCTTCCAGAATCACCCCTTTCAGAACAGAACTCCTCTGAGGAAGCTGGAAGGGAAACAGGTGAGGCTGGGAGATGTAAGAGAAAGGGAAGGGCTGGCACAGGGCCAGGTGGTGGTAGCTTTTGGAACACCTAGGGTTTTGGAATTTTTTTTTTTAAGCCAGAATGAGGGTGAGTTTTCAGTGTTTCCTTCCCAGAATTGAGGCATCCTTTGGAGCAGGAATGCAAGGTGGCCTGGGAAGGGAGAAGATAACTCTGCTGGTTCTCATGCCTACAGAAGAAAACCCACACTCCTTAGCATGGCACACAGGGTCTTTCTGATCTGGCTCCAACCGACCTTTCCAGCTCTGTCCTCTGTCCTTTCATCTTCTAGGCAGGATAGGCCCTTTCAGTGACTTCAAGCTCTTGTTTATGCTGTTTCCCTGCTGGGAATGCCTTTCCCTGGTCTCTTTGCTTGCTATATTCTTGCTGATACTTCATTCTTTTTTGTGTTTTCTGCCAGAAAGAGACTGACCCAACTTTGGGTCCTAGTTCAGGCAAGTGTACAGTGTCCTGTGGCATACATTGTGGGTAATACTCTTACTCCTGGCTTATTTTATTTAACTCTGATTTTTAATTCATTCAGATTTTCTCTTTTACTTGCTTTTTGTGTTGTTCCAGTATTGTATTTGAAAAGCTTTCTCATGTCCTTTTGGGTACATAACTGAAGATACATAAATATGCTTATGGCTCACAACTTAGTTTATATGTCACTGCCTCACCCCAAGTTAACTGCTTTGTTCTCCTCCAGCACTTGAGTGATATTTCTATAAAAGCACTTAACACAGTATAATTTTTCAGTTTATATGTCTGTCTTCCTCCAGCTACACTGTGTGCTCCTCCAGGGCAGGCACCATGTTGCACTCATCTTTGTACCCCCAGCATCTAGCGGTGTTGGCATGTCGTAGGCACTCAAGAAATGTGTGTTGAATGAGCGATGCCTGTGACAAGCAACCGGACTTTATTCTTTCCTGACCCTTGCTCCTATGACACATCTCCTCCTGGCTGCCACTATCACCCTTCAGAGCAGAACTTCTCTAGGGAAGCCAGAAGGGAAACAGGTGAGGCTCAGAGAGGCGGAGGCTAAGGGAAGGGGGAGCCTTTGGAACATCTGGGTTTTGGCATTGGTGTCTGGGGGCGGCACTTGGGGTGGGCTGGAAGCGGGCATTTTCTTGAGTGGCTGGGAAGTGACTGGGGATTGGGTCTGGTTTCTTCTCAGCTATGGCCAAGGACATCCTGGGCGAAGCAGGGCTGCACTTTGATGAGCTGAACAAGTTGCGGGTGTTGGACCCAGAGGTTACCCAACAGACCATAGAGCTCAAAGAAGAGTGCAAGGACTTTGTGGACAGTGAGTGTCACTTGGGGAGACATGGTGTCACACAATTCCAACTGTGCCCCACCCCCACCTGCAGCTCTTGGCCCTGGCAGAATGAAGCTGCTGGCTCCCTGGAGGTTGAGCCTGGCCTTTATGAATTCCCATGTGCCACCCAGCTTGTCTGCCTGTCCTCTTCTTATGCCCTCATGTAGTCCCACACAGAACACCAACCAAAACAAACACTGGAATTGGGATAGGACGGTGCTTTTTTAGATATGCCATCTTTGATTTTTTTGCTCTCAGAAACCTTAAACTTCATGGGGGCAGAACCACGGCTTAGGGGTGGGAAATAGTTACACACCCATGATTTGATTCTTGGGAGAAATATTGTTCTCAGTAAGCAGACTTGCCATTATTTGGAGTGAAAGCTGGTTAACTGGAGCCTCTAGAAGCAGCTCAACAGACTCCATGAAGTCATTTTTTTTAGCTAGAGATACTCAGGACACCTCCTGTCCCAGCAGCCAAGCAAGCCCAGGGCAGTGAGTACAGTGCAGATCTTGCTCGAGCAGGGATTTCTGAGGGACTCTGGGCTTTGGAGAGAGCTTGACTGGTAGAAGGTAGCGTGAGTTGTCGTCAGTTTTCTGATTGCTATGTGCATGTTGTTCCACCTCTCTGGGCCTTAGTCAAGTGGGGTTCCACTACACCCAAGGACATTGAAAAAAGCGAATGGAAGATTAGGCACTTAAATGCTTTGAGCTCTTTATTAGTTCTGGTCACTGGTGGAAAGCCCCCACCCAGCATTAACTGAAATCTAGTGGCTTCTCTGTGGCTCGTCAAGAGGCAGCGTTCATGTCCTGAGGCAGGCCTTTCATAAACATGGCCCTTTATGCTTCCTATTACTCCTGGGAAAGCAGGATGGGGTCCATCCAGAGGATGGACCCACCAGGAGCTTTCCTAGCCTGAGGTAACAGCAGCTGGCTGGCTCAGTGGGGACTCAGGGTCCAAGTATGCCTCAGTCCAGCTCTGGACACCTGGACACCCTTCTCGAGGTTCAGCCCAAGGGTGGCAGACTTGGGGCCAGCAGGCACCAACCTGTTTTGACAGAAGTTAGAAGGGGCAGTTAGCCCTGCCCTCTCACTGCAAGGGAACGCTGAGAGACAGTGATGATGCTGAGGAAATAAAACATTTTCTTTTTTGTTCTTTCCCCAAAAGAAATTGGCCAGTTTCAGAAAATAGTTGGTGGTTTAATTGAGCTTGTTGACCAACTTGCAAAAGAAGCAGAAAATGAGAAGATGAAGGTAAGATCAGCATGTCTTTTATCTCAATCTTGGCTTGGGACCCTGGTTTACTAGCCTCTCATCCTTCTGCCCTTTTTTTTTTGGCCGAGGGTGGGGGGATTCTTTTAATTAAAACAAGATTTTAAATAACAATTCCTATACAAATATAGAATCATTGTTGTACACCTGAAACTAATATAATGTTGTTTGTCAATTATACTTCAATAAGAAAAATAAATTCTGGTCCAGTTAATCTAATAAACACTTATATGCCAGTCCACTTTGTCATTCTCTCCTTTAAAATTCACATCATCACTGAGATAGGTGGTTTTATCCTCCTTTATAAATGAAGAAATGGAGGCGTGCAGATGACTTGGCAAAGGACACAGGCTACATGGCCACCAAATGGGCCAGTGAACACCCGTGTGCCAGACTTTGGGGATGCTCCTAGATCTGCCTCAGAGCTTTGGTCTCCTCATCAGGCACTTTGGGATCGTGAGGCTACTCCTCCTTCTGACTTCCTCCCAAAGCTCTGGGGCTTGACCATCTCTTCCCCACTAGACACTGAGATAGCCCCAAGTGGCCCGTCCCCGGGTGAGGACTCAATGCTGAAGACGGCTTTCATGGAGCTGTGACCTTCTTTGGCAATACCATTTTTCTAGGCCATTGGTGCTCGGAACTTGCTCAAATCTATAGCAAAGCAGAGAGAAGCCCAGCAGCAGCAACTCCAAGCACTAATAGCAGAAAAGAAAATGCAGCTTGAAAGGTAAGAAGTTATGATGCAAAGCAAGTTCTTTACTCAACCGCAATTCTATTTTTCCTTCTTGAACCGTCACCTCTTGTCCTTATTCATCGTTTCTCCCAGGAAGTGTTTCACTTATCATTGTGATTTGAAGATTTTAAAAATTAAGTTACATTTGATGGGAAGGAAATGGAAATTTGGTTCATATCAGACAACCTCTAGTAGTTTGAGAGCATGAAAGCTCAGGGAGTGTCCTCAAGGTTGGCTGGCTCTCTGAAAGGACAGACTCTCAGGGCTGGAGACTTCTGGGTGGCCCTAGTTAGGGCTTCCCCTTTTACTGTTTTCTGTCTTTCCCTCGCTAACTTCATTCTGAACTCACCATTTCTTCAAATCATTTAAATCACCTATATTCTTCTCTAGAAGAATTAAGTCCATGGTTTATTTCATCCATTTTTAGGGCTTGTAACAATTTTGTTTTTCAGGTATCGGGTTGAATATGAAGCTTTGTGTAAAGTAGAAGCAGAACAAAATGAATTTATTGACCAATTTATTTTTCAGAAATGAAAATTTCATTTTATAGCAGAAGGGCAAAAAAAAAAACCCCCAAACACCAAAAAACCTCTGTACCATTCCAGTGACTTGACTAATGACCCAAGTTGTTGTGAGACGGTGTGTAAGGAACACAGCATCTCTGAAGGCAAGAAAACCAACCTGGGGGGACGTGTTTCAGATATTAGTGCGTACCTCCTGGCAAACACCCAGTGGCCATGGTGGTCCAGGTTCTCACCTCTTGCATTCTCAGTCTGAACTGAGCAGTCTGTAAACTTTGATCCTTTTTTTGTAAATTCACAAAGCTTTGGAAGGAAAAGCAATAAATTATTGTTTTCAAATGGCTTGATCCTCTTTTGCTGGTGCCCCTGAAGTGTATGTATAACCCCTTGTACGAGACCCCTGGACTCTCAAGCCCCTAGTCCACAAAACAAACCAGGCAGTGGTCAGCAGCTACTTTTATTTGGATCAGACACATGAGTCAGATGATACTCCCAACAATCAGACCAATGCGGCTTGTGAGCAAAACAGGCAAAAGGAGGGAACTACCTGGGACTAGTTTCTACCATTTTCCGTGTGTTCACAAGTCTTTTTTGGGGGTTGGCCTTGAGTACGAATTGACAGGAAGCTAATAGAAACACCAGGTGCTAATATGAAGAGACCTTAAATGCACACATGGGACACGCCCCGCTGCCCCCACCCCTTCAACTGAGAACACGGGAAGGGATGATCAAACCATTGGGAAGGATGAAGCTACCCAGTAGGACGCACACCTCCAGATCAGGTTTGAGACAGCAGACCCCAGAGTAAAGGAACTTATGTCAGGTGGTCTATAAAGAACACTAAGGTTTAGAAAGAGGATAAACAAGGAGACTTAAAAAATCTCTTTTCTCAGGATGACCTGTTTTAAGACAGAAACAGAACACCTTCCAGTTTAACCTATTTCTGATTGAGAGTTGTGCCAAGGCTGAACCTTAAGGAAAACTAAGTTTAAACCTCTTGCAGAACTTTTTCCCCCCAGGGATGGGGACAAGAAAACATGATAGAGTTTTTAATGAATATTAAAGTGGCATAATTTCCAACTTAAAAGTGGCCTGAAACATCTCAGTATTCATCTTGCTGATTAGTGATAGGCTGTAGAGAATCATGAGTCAAGGGTTCTGTCACATGTATAATGTGGGTCAGATGACTCATGAACATGCCAAGCAGGCCATGTTTCTTGGAAGTTTTATCCAGTTTCTGGTCTGGTCCTGCTTTTAGTAATCCTGCAATGGCACTTAGGCACACAGTGAGGTATGTGGCACCACTTCCTATCACCTAGCCTGACCCCTCTGCTCATCCTCAGGTGATCGGTCTGTTTGTGCCAGTGTCCTTGGAAGGTGAAGGTCTGATGTTGCTCCTGCCAGTGTCTTGCTCTTGTGTGTTGCTGCTAGTGTGCTTCATATGTTACTGAAGACATGGGTTCTGAGCAGTTTTCTTGTACCGGCTCCAATAGGAAACTGCCTGCGGGCATCTCTCCCCTGGGCGTGGTTATTTCTCTCATTTTTTCTTTCTTTTCTCCTCATACTTGTAGTGGGGGCTCCACAACATGAAAAGCAGAATCATAAGAGGGATGAGAAAGTAGGGGGCATAGACAGATAAGAGGGTTAGTCGTTCATGGAAAGTCTTAGGTCCTTGTGCTTTGAAACCACTGGCTTTGGAGAAATCCTCAAACAGAAATATGGAGAGAATTGGAATTAGAGTTGTCATGGTGTGAACCGAGTAGATGATTGCAGGGATGCGGATCCACTTGCAGCCTCCTGAAGTTGTCAGGGGAAGAGAAAGAGAGAAGCATTAGGTCTGTTCATGACTCCAGGATGCCCACATTCTCCACCCTGTCTCTGCCTGCTCCCTTCAGCTGAACCATTCTACCTCCTTTTCCAGGTGGAAACAAATGGAAAACCACATGTGTTATAATATGCAAACTTATGTGACAGCTGGGGCCCTAGCTGCCAAAGAACAAGGGTAGGGGGTCAAAATTTAATTCAGAAAACTCTAGGGTAGGAAAACGGCCATCACAGTTAAATCTGTTTGATCTAAATTGCAAGGGGGTCTAAACAGCAGCATCTGTTAAGTAATTATACAGAGGCGAGAAGATCAACAGATTCTGCCGGGAGATGGATTTGGGGGTTCCAGTGGGAAATAAGCTGTACAAGCTTAGTTACCACATACACTGGTGTGGCCACGTTCTTTATAAAAGCATTAGTCATAGGAGGACACTGTAAATAATTTTTAAATGAGAAGTTAAGCCCTTTAGGGATCAGCTTGATGTTACTATTGATAAACCAGTAAGATACTACCCAAAGCAGAGAAATAAAAGCCAACAATAAAAGAAAGAAATTCCATGGGGGGGGGGGTGGACACAATAAAAAGGAACAAGTTCAGTCTTTAAGTAGCCTCAGGTGTTGTGTGTGAGAGAACTTTCCAGTTGACTGAGGCAGTCCTGCAGCCCTGCTGACCACTGACAGCCTGAGCCACACTCAACATCCCTTTACAAGATCTATCCTGGCCATTCCCCCAAAATCCTATATCACTCTCACACAGACCACAGGGACCACTCCCCTCTCCCTTGGAGATACCTTCCCAAAAGATTTCTGGGACCTGATTTCAGAGCAAAAACGGGATTTCCCCACCATTTACTAACCTTTGAAGAAGGCATACGCTGCAAAGGGAAAAAAAGGCAGCTGAAACACAAGCTCGCAAAACAGGAAGGACTTAAACCACATTGGGGGGTCCTGTAGCAGAGGGTCTTTGAACTCCTTAGCATACCACTCCATCAGGTTTCTCAACTGGAAAAAGATAAAGATCAGATGAATACAGTCACCTGGCAGGACAGGCTCAGCAGCTCCGACCCACTGCAAGCACCTTACTCCCTAGCCCCCACGGGCTGCCGGCAGGCCTGTGGGCTTTTGTGGTGCAGCCTGGATGGCCATTGAATACAAATTCACTAGCTCTACCTCAAATGTTACCTTCCCTGAGAAGCTGTCCTCAGCTCTCCTAGCCCCTCTGTGCTACCCAGTGTTTGTTCCTGACTCCATGGTAACACACATCCAAGTATGCTGCCCACTGTCAAGAGCAACAATATCTGGCACTTGGTAGGCTCCTAACACACAAACATGACCATCTGCCAGCAGTATCATTCTTTCTAAGAAAAATAACGTGAAAACCATCCTGACATTCGTCCTTTCACAATAGCAAAACTGCACACCAAGCTCCGAGGGCCAAATTTCCTCAGTACAGAAATGAATGGAATCTCCTTGTCTTTTTTAAGGGGAAGGTGGGGGTAGGAGGGAGGTAAATGTAACCTATATGAAGATGCAATTTTAAATAAGCCCCAAATGTCAAGTTCCTCATCATTCTTAATTCCCCTAGTTTTCTAAATTTTTTCTTTTAAGAGACCAGTAGGAGATGTGTAGAACAAACTGCCCCGAGCCACAGACTGCACGGCTCCTAGGCTACGGCAAGGCTTGAGGGTTAGTGGCCTCCGTTCTAGCTCGGGCCCCATCATCAGAATTGGACCGTCAAATCAAAAAGTGCAGAGCCACACTGACAGGGCTACAGGCAGAGGAAGGAAGCGGAGGCTGTGAGGCTGCCCATTTTGTGCTATTTTAAGAGCCCCAAGCCTAGGGCTCTCCATACAAGTGGACCACCAAAGGTCTGTCGCAGTTAACCTCCTGGAGATGGCGTTGTCTTGACACACCTGCCTTCAAAGCCAAATAGGTCTTGACATTATGATAAATAAAGGCAACTTCCAAGGTAAGAATTTAGCTTACAATGGAAAATCCAAAGATATTTTTCCTGTTAATTTTTAATCAAAAGATAAAGCTCACTATTGTGAAATAGAGGCCTCATGGCTGCGAGTGGCCTTTGAGCAAATATCCAGAAACAAACATTCTGTTAGCATAATATTAATTTCAGAAAGGCTCCGGCTGGATAACCAATTTATTGACCAACTGATTTCTAATTTGCACTTGACTTGAAATTTAAATTCACGGCAATACCCTTAGCTTCTCTCTGAGTACTTCTCAGCATGGTAATGTGGTAGAAAACGTTCATAAAAGTTAAGTCACTCCACCTCTCCTGGGGGCTAGTTCCTCATCTGTAGAACAAGCAACTTGGACTAAATGTTTTTTAAGACCCTTTTTTGTTTTCTAGATTTACTTAAAAACTACTGGAGGGAACAATCTGCTTTAAAAGAGTTACCACAGAATTTAGAAAGCATTCTTGTTCATTTGAACTTCATTTTCTATTTAATTTGTACACTCTCTCAGATCTACCTGTTTCATAAATCAAGCAGCACTGTAATTTCTAAGGGCTGCAGGAGGAGATTAGTAAAATTTAGAATAATCAGCCAGCTCTCGTACTCAATTAGGACCCAACCACCTCATGCCAGAACAAAGCCTGGACGAAGGGCAGTGGAAGGCAAGGCACAGGCCCCCGAAGAGGGAAGAGCATGGGACCTGGGGGCAGGGGGCCTGGCTCCGGGCAAAACACTTAATCCCACTAAGCTTATTTCCCAATTATAGTACCTACCTCACTGTTGGTAAGATAAAATGAGTTAATATATATAGTCTTAGAATAATGGCTAGCACATAGTAAATGTTAAGATTTAATTGAATGTAATTAATACATATTTGAAGAGGTTCAAGTTTAATCCTATTAAAATCTCAGCATGCAAGTGGTCATTAACAAGAATTATTAGGTGAGACCCAAAAAAGGTAATAAAACTGTTTCCATGTATACCTGATTCACATTTGACTCAACTCACTATTGTTACCATTAAAATATTCACCTGGCCTATGCACAGGGATTTCTAAACCAGGAGCTGCTACTGAGTCATCTTGCACTTCTCTAACTCAGAATGAGAGCAGATTGATTTCAGACCTTGATGCTCACCCCTTGCTCCTTATTTTAACAGCAGTGCTACCCAGCTGCAAAATGCTCCCCATCCTCTCCATGTTCTAACTCAAACTTAATTCTTACTGTTTCATAGTAAGAGTTTTTCCAAGCGTTGATCTGGTTCAAACCAACAAAGAGATTTAATTTGCAAATTTTAGCCCATTATGTGCTCTCCACAAGCTTTTGAGTTGTAGGGAAAAATTCGTTCTGTTTAGGAAGGAAAAACAGAACTGATGTTAAATTTTGGCATTTTTTCAAAGAAAATCTGAAAATAACTCAAGGCTTTTATTAGTATTATTTTCCCCACAGAGGAGCAACAAAACCGTCATTCTCCACCCCAAAACAAGACTGAATAAAAACACAGGCCTTCCAAGCCAGGATGCTTGTGTTGCTAACGCCTTCA